AGGCAAAAAACTTTATGTGAAAAAAACAAAACAAAAACAATAAAATGATAAGAACAAAACAAAATTACCAGTCTTACTGCACATTTTAGGAAACAGTAAAACAGAACATTCGTCTAACTGTAAACGTATTAATAGCCTTATACAGGAGACCATTACTTTAAAATTGCACTAATACAAAAAAACTTTAACCTAAAACCTAAATAAACAGCATTTTGAATCGGCAAATACAACATTTATAATTTTGCTCTTTGACAGTCTATAATTTGACATTAAAAACAAGATTTAGGTAAAAGAAAGTACTTTACTAAAAGCTGATCGTTTATTCTGTTCACAATGATTGAACTTGGTTTTTTGAATAAGAGTGTTCTTCGGGCTAATAATAAAATTGTTAGCAAAAAACAAAACAGATAAACATTGTTTGAAATCATTACTTTTAATACTTGTAGTACAAGAATTGAAAATCATGCATTGCTTTATAAAGACCTCAAGTGAATAGCTTACAAACCACGATATGTGCACTAGACCTCTGTTCTATGTTTGTAAACTGCTCTAAATAGGAACTCATTAGTGGAAAAAGAAAAAAAAAAAAAAAAACAACAACTAAAAATCAAAACAAAAAACAAAACAAAAAAATCATTAATTGACGTTTTACATATAATTAAAAAGAAGCTTACAAATTTTGGCAATCAGTGAGTTTAATGTTTCTTTTCCATATTTTACACCTATACTTTATAGCTATAGCTAGTCTTTATCTTATACTTTATAGCTAAAATTGAAACTATTAAAGCGAAGAAGCAACACACCTCAATAGGATTAAAAACTTGAATCAACAGATGCGAATTTGAATCTGTTACCTTCGCTTGAGGTAAAACAAAGAGCCACGCCAAAGACACATAGAGCTAAAACTGAAATATTGACAGCGCCAAACCAAAAACAAATAGCATAAAACAAAAAGTACTTTGAAACATTTTATTAAACTTACATTTGCAGATCGATCCCGTCTAATGATTCCATAATTTGAAAGTTAAGGAGAAAAAACATTTATTTAAAATATCTGCAGTATATAAATTTATTGCTTTTTTGTCAAATATTTTAACGAACTACTAAAACAAATGTTAGCAAAGAAGCAAGCCAAACATTAAACTTCAATAAAAAAAACAAAAAACAATTGATTTCTCGTTGCACAATGTAAAGAGATTCTCATTTCTAAACTGTTAGTTTATTATTTACTTGATAAAAGCAAGACCACCGCTTTGTCTTTTATTGCACTAAACATGAAATGATTAAAGGAAAAAGAAAATAAGAAAAGAAAAACAAAATATTAAAAAGCTTCACATCTAACTACTAAGTAGCTTACAAAATGATCGCTAGAGTGACATTCATAATTCTTATTTGCATTGACCATTTACTTTATACTTTATAACTAAAATTGTAACCAGTTAAACAAGCAAACAGCACACTATAACACTATTGAAAACATGAAATATCTGATGCAATAATATAATTGTTACCATAACTTGGATAAAATCAAGTGTGAAAATACATACAAAAACCATGTAATAAAGAATTCGAGAAGAAAAAAAAATTGCAAGGGCTAAAACAAAAAACGATTAGAAAGAAACAAAATGTAACTAGAAACATTTCACTTGTCTACATAATAGTTAAACTGAATTTTACTTACTTTGGCTGAATCTTATTGCTCTATTATTTTCTTAGTTTAGAGCTTTATTACACAGACATCAAGTTTAGAAGCAGGCAATGATTTCTATAAATTTTGTGTATTTTTGAAAATACATGTATGAGCTGGAAAAAAAAATTGTTAGCATAGCAAAACACATTTTATTTTTTTTGTTTGATTTTTTTTTCATTTTGTTTCTAATCGGTTTATTAAACTTAAATAAAACAAATCAAAAAAAAATTAAAAAAAAACTAATCATTATTCTGACCACTATGCTTTTAAGACATGCAAATAAAGAACAAAAATTCGCTAATTTCTTATAAGAATCAATTGCTTACGTAAAAGGATAGTTTGTTTGACATTATAACGTGAGCCACACCACTTCTTTGTCTTTGCGACACACTAAAATTAAATCTGATTAACACCCAACCCCAAAACGATATATAAAGAAAATAAAAAAACATTTGTGACCACAAAAACAAATAATTGAAGCATATACTTAGCATGTAGGAAGACGCACTTAAATGAAACAAACTGCGTTTGGATCATACACGCAAAACTAAACAGACCACCAATCAATATTTTCTTGTTTAATGCAAAAAACTTTATGTGAAAAAAACAAAACAAAAACAATAAAATGATAAGAACAAAACAAAATTACCAGTCTTACTGCACATTTTAGGAAACAGTAAAACAGAACATTCATCTAACTGTAAACGTATTAATAGCCTTATACAGGAGACCATTACTTTAAAATTGCACTAATACAAAAAAACTTTAACCTAAAACCTAAATAAACAGCATTTTGAATCGGCAAATACAACATTTACAATTTTGCTCTTTGACAGTCTATAATTTGACATTAAAAACAAGATTTAGGTAAAAGAAAGTACTTTACTAAAAGCTGATCGTTTATTCTGTTCACAATGATTGAACTTGGTTTTTTGAATAAGAGTGTTCTTCGGGCTAATAATAAAATTGTTAGCAAAAAACAAAACAGATAAACATTGTTTGAAATCATTACTTTTAATACTTGTAGTACAAGAATTGAAAATCATGCATTGCTTTATAAAGACCTCAAGTGAATAGCTTACAAACCACGATATGTGCACTAGACCTCTGTTCTATGTTTGTAAACTGCTCTAAATAGGAACTCATTAGTGGAAAAAGAAAAAAACAAAAAAAAAAACATCTAAAAATCAAAACAAAAAACAAAACAAAAAAATCATTAATTGACGTTTTACATATAATTAAAAAGAAGCTTACAAATTTTGGCAATCAGTGAGTTTAATGTTTCTTTTCCATATTTTACACCTATACTTTATAGCTATAGCTAGTCTTTATCTTATACTTTATAGCTAAAATTGAAACTATTAAAGCGAAGAAGCAACACACCTCAATAGGATTAAAAACTTAAATCAACAGATGCGAATTTGAATCTGTTACCTTCGCTTGAGGTAAAACAAAGAGCCACGCCAAAGACACATAGAGCTAAAACTGAAATATTGACAGCGCCAAACCAAAAACAAATAGCATAAAACAAAAAGTACTTTGAAACATTTTATTAAACTTACATTTGCAGATCGATCCCGTCTAATGATTCCATAATTTGAAAGTTAAGGAGAAAAAACATTTATTTAAAATATCTGCAGTATATAAATTTATCGCTTTTTTGTCAAATATTTTAACGAACTACTAAAACAAATGTTAGCAAAGAAGCAAGCCAAACATTAAACTTCAATAAAAAAAACAAAAAACAATTGATTTCTCGTTGCACAATGTAAAGACATTCTCATTTATAAACTGTTAGTTTAATATTTACTTGATAAAAGCAAGACCTCCGCTTTGTCTTTTATTGCACTAAACATGAAATGATTAAAGGGAAAAGAAAATAAGAAAAGAAAAACAAAATATTAAAAAGCTTCACATCTAACTACTAAGTAGCTTACAAAATGATCGCTGGAGTGACATTCATAATTCTTATTTGCATTGACCATTTACTTTATACTTTATAACTAAAATTGTAACCAGTTAAACAAGCAAACAGCACACTATAACACTATTGAAAACATGAAATATCTGATGCAATAATATAATTGTTACCATAACTTGGATAAAATCAAGTGTGAAAATACATACAAAAACCATGTAATAAAGAATTCGAGAAGAAAAAAAAATTGCAAGGGCTAAAACAAAAAACGATTAGAAAGAAACAAAATGTAACTTGAAACATTTCACTTGTCTACATAATAGTTAAACTGAATTTTACTTACTTTGGCTGAATCTTATTGCTCTATTATTTTCTTAGTTTAGAGCTTTATTACACAGACATCAAGTTTAGAAGCAGGCAATGATTTCTATAAATTTTGTGTATTTTTGAAAATACATGTATGAGCTGGAAAAAAAAATTGTTAGCATAGCAAAACACATTTTATTTTGTTTGTTTTTTTTTTTTTCATTTTGTTTCTAATCGGTTTATTAAACTTAAATAAAACAAATCAAAAAAAAATTAAAATAAAAACTAATCATTATTCTGACCACTATGCTTTTAAGACATGCAAATAAAGAACAAAAATTCGCTAATTTCTTATAAGAATCAATTGCTTACGTAAAAGGATAGTTTGTTTGACATTATAACGTGAGCCACACCACTTCTTTGTCTTTGCGACACACTAAAATTAAATCTGATTAACACCCAACCCCAAAACCATATATAAAGAAAATAAAAAAACATTTGTAACCCGAAAACAAATAATTAAAGCATATACTTAGCATGTAGGAAGACGCACTTAAATAAAACAAACTGCGTTTGGATCATACACGCAAAACTAAACAGACCACCAATCAATATTTTCTTGTTTAATGCAAAAAACTTTATGTGAAAAAAACAAAACAAAAACAATAAAATGATAAGAACAAAACAAAATTACCAGTCTTACTGCACATTTTAAGAAACAGTAAAACAGAACATTCGTCTAACTGTAAACGTATTAATAGCCTTATACAGGAGACCATTACTTTAAAATTGCACTAATACAAAAAAACTTTAACCTAAAACCTAAATAAACAGCATTTTGAATCGGCAAATACAACATTTATAGTTTTGCTTTTTGACAGTCTATAATTTGACATTAAAAACAAGATTTAGGTAAAAAAAAGTACTTTACTAAAAGCTGATCGTTTATTCTGTTCACAATGATTGAACTTGGTTTTTTAAAAGAGAGTGTTCTTCGGGCTAATAATAAAATTGTTAGCAAAAAACAAAACAGAAAAACATTGTTTGAAATCATTACTTTTAATACTTGTAGTACAAGAATTGAAAATCATGCATTGCTTTAAAAAGACCTCAAGTGAATAGCTTATAAACCACGATATGTGCACTAGACCTCTGTTCTATGTTTGTAAACTGCTCTAAATAGGAACTCGTTAGTGGAAAAAGAAAAAAAAAAAAAAAACAACAACTAAAAATCAAAACAAAAAACAAAACAAAAAAATCATCAATTGACGTTTTACATATAATTAAAAAGAAGCTTACAAATTTTGGCAATCAGTGAGTTTAATGTTTCTTTTCCATATTTTACATCTATACTTTATAGCTATAGCTAGTCTTTATCTTATACTTTATAGCTAAAATTGAAACTATTAAAGCAAAGAAGCATCACACCTCAATAGGATTGAAAACTTAAATCAACAGATGCCAATTTGAATCTGTTACCTTCGCTTGAGGTAAAACCAAGAGCCACGCCAAAGACACATAGAGCTAAAACTGAAATATTGACAGCGCCAAACCAAAAACAAACAGCATAAAACAAAAAGTACTTTGAAACATTTTATTAAACTTACATTTGCAGATCGATCCCGTCTAATTATTCCATAATTTGAAAGTTAAGGAGAAAAAACATTTATTTAAAATATCTGCAGTATATAAAAATATCGCTTTTTTGTCAAATATTTTAACGAACTACTAAAACAAATGTTGGCAAAGAAGCAAGCCAAACATTAAACTTCAAAAAAAAAAAAAAAAACAATTGATTTTTTGTTGCACAATGTAAAGACATTCTCATTTATAAACTGTTAGTTTATTATTTACTTGATAAAAGCAAGACCTCCGCTTTGTCTTTTATTGCACTAAACATGAAATGATTAAAGGGAAAAGAAAATAAGAAAAGAAAAACAAAATATTAAAAAGCTTCACATCTAACTACTAAGTAGCTTACAAAATGATCGCTGGAGTGACATTCATAATTCTTATTTGCATTGACCATTTACTTTATACTTTATAACTAAAATTGTAATCAGTTAAACAAGCAAACAGCACACTATAACACTATTGAAAACATGAAATATCTGATGCAATAATATAATTGTTACCATAACTTGGATAAAATCAAGTGTGAAAATACATACAAAAACCATGTAATAAAGAATTCGAGAAGAAAAAAAAATTGCAAGGGCTAAAACAAAAAACGATTAGAAAGAAACAAAATGTAACTTGAAACATTTCACTTGTCTACATAATAGTTAAACTGAATTTTACTTACTTTGGCTGAGTCTTATTGCTCTATTATTTTATTAGTTTAGAGCTTTATTACACAGACATCAAGTTTAGAAGCAGGCAATGATTTCTATAAATTTTGTGTATTTTTGAAAATACATGATTGAGCTGGAAAAAAAAATTGTTAGCATAGCAAAACACATTTTATTTTGTTTGTTTTTTTTTTTTCATTTTGTTTCTAATCGGTTTATTAAACTTAAATAAAACAAATCAAAAAAAAATTATAAAAAAACTAATCATGATTCTGACCACTATGCTTTTAAGACATGCAAATAAAGAACAAAAATTCGCTAATTTCTTATAAGAATCAATTGCTTACGTAAAAGGATAGTTTGTTTGACATTATAACGTGAGCCACACCACTTCTTTGTCTTTGCGACACACTAAAATTAAATCTGATTAACACCCAACCCCAAAACCATATATAAAGAAAATAAAAAAACATTTGTGACCCGAAAACAAATAATTAAAGCATATACTTAGCATGTAGGAAGACGCACTTAAATGAAACAAACTGCGTTTGGATCATACACGCAAAACTAAACAGACCACCAATCAATATTTTCTTGTTTAATGCAAAAAACTTTATGTGAAAAAAACAAAACAAAAACAATAAAATGATAAGAACAAAACAAAATTACCAGTCTTACTGCACATTTTAAGAAACAGTAAAACAGAACATTCGTCTAACTGTAAACGTATTAATAGCCTTATACAGGAGACCATTACTTTAAAATTGCACTAATACAAAAAAACTTTAACCTAAAACCTAAATAAACAGCATTTTGAATCGGCAAATACAACATTTATAGTTTTGCTTTTTGACAGTCTATAATTTGACATTAAAAACAAGATTTAGGTAAAAAAAAGTACTTTACTAAAAGCTGATCGTTTATTCTGTTCACAATGATTGAACTTGGTTTTTTAAAAGAGAGTGTTCTTCGGGCTAATAATAAAATTGTTAGCAAAAAACAAAACAGAAAAACATTGTTTGAAATCATTACTTTTAATACTTGTAGTACAAGAATTGAAAATCATGCATTGCTTTAAAAAGACCTCAAGTGAATAGCTTATAAACCACGATATGTGCACTAGACCTCTGTTCTATGTTTGTAAACTGCTCTAAATAGGAACTCGTTAGTGGAAAAAGAAAAAAAAAAAAAAAACAACAACTAAAAATCAAAACAAAAAACAAAACAAAAAAATCATCAATTGACGTTTTACATATAATTAAAAAGAAGCTTACAAATTTTGGCAATCAGTGAGTTTAATGTTTCTTTTCCATATTTTACATCTATACTTTATAGCTATAGCTAGTCTTTATCTTATACTTTATAGCTAAAATTGAAACTATTAAAGCAAAGAAGCATCACACCTCAATAGGATTGAAAACTTAAATCAACAGATGCCAATTTGAATCTGTTACCTTCGCTTGAGGTAAAACCAAGAGCCACGCCAAAGACACATAGAGCTAAAACTAAAATATTGACAGCGCCAAACCAAAAACAAACAGCATAAAACAAAAAGTACTTTGAAACATTTTATTAAACTTACATTTGCAGATCGATCCCGTCTAATTATTCCATAATTTGAAAGTTAAGGAGAAAAAACATTTATTTAAAATATCTGCAGTATATAAAAATATCGCTTTTTTGTCAAATATTTTAACGAACTACTAAAACAAATGTTGGCAAAGAAGCAAGCCAAACATTAAACTTCAAAAAAAAAAAAAAAAACAATTGATTTTTTGTTGCACAATGTAAAGACATTCTCATTTATAAACTGTTAGTTTATTATTTACTTGATAAAAGCAAGACCTCCGCTTTGTCTTTTATTGCACTAAACATGAAATGATTAAAGGGAAAAGAAAATAAGAAAAGAAAAACAAAATATTAAAAAGCTTCACATCTAACTACTAAGTAGCTTACAAAATGATCGCTGGAGTGACATTCATAATTCTTATTTGCATTGACCATTTACTTTATACTTTATAACTAAAATTGTAATCAGTTAAACAAGCAAACAGCACACTATAACACTATTGAAAACATGAAATATCTGATGCAATAATATAATTGTTACCATAACTTGGATAAAATCAAGTGTGAAAATACATACAAAAACCATGTAATAAAGAATTCGAGAAGAAAAAAAAATTGCAAGGGCTAAAACAAAAAACGATTAGAAAGAAACAAAATGTAACTTGAAACATTTCACTTGTCTACATAATAGTTAAACTGAATTTTACTTACTTTGGCTGAGTCTTATTGCTCTATTATTTTATTAGTTTAGAGCTTTATTACACAGACATCAAGTTTAGAAGCAGGCAATGATTTCTATAAATTTTGTGTATTTTTGAAAATACATGATTGAGCTGGAAAAAAAAATTGTTAGCATAGCAAAACACATTTTATTTTGTTTGTTTTTTTTTTTTCATTTTGTTTCTAATCGGTTTATTAAACTTAAATAAAACAAATCAAAAAAAAATTATAAAAAAACTAATCATGATTCTGACCACTATGCTTTTAAGACATGCAAATAAAGAACAAAAATTCGCTAATTTCTTATAAGAATCAATTGCTTACGTAAAAGGATAGTTTGTTTGACATTATAACGTGAGCCACACCACTTCTTTGTCTTTGCGACACTAAAATTAAATCTGATTAACACCCAACCCCAAAACGATATATAAAAAAAATAAAAAAACATTTGTGACCACAAAAACAAATAATTGAAGCATATACTTAGCATGTAGGAAGACGCACTTAAATGAAACAAACTGCGTTTGGATTATACACGCAAAACTAAACAGACCACCAATCAATATTTTCTTGTTTAATGCAAAAAACTTTATGTGAAAAAAACAAAACAAAAACAATAAAATGATAAGAACAAAACAAAATTACCAGTCTTACTGCACATTTTAAGAAACAGTAAAACAGAACATTCGTCTAACTGTAAACGTATTAATAGCCTTATACAGGAAACCATTACTTTAAAATTGCACTAATACAAAAAAACTTTAACCTAAAACCTAAATAAACAGCATTTTGAATCGGCAAATACAACATTTATAATTTTGCTCTTTGACAGTCTATAATTTGACATTAAAAACAAGATTTAGGTAAAAGAAAGTACTTTACTAAAAGCTGATCGTTTATTCTGTTCACAATGATTGAACTTGGTTTTTTAAATAAGAGTGTTCTTCGGGCTAATAATAAAATTGTTAGCAAAAAACAAAACAGAAAAACATTGTTTGAAATTATTACTTTTAATACTTGTAGTACAAGAATTGAAAATCATGCATTGCTTTAAAAAGACCTCAAGTGAATAGCTTACAAACCACGATATGTGCACTAGACCTCTGTTCTATGTTTGTAAACTGCTCTAAATAGGAACTTGTTAGTGGAAAAAGAAAAAAAAAAAAAAAAACAACAACTAAAAATCAAAACAAAAAACAAAACAAAAAAATCATCAATTGACGTTTTACATATAATTAAAAAGAAGCTTACAAATTTTGGCAATCAGTGAGTTTAATGTTTCTTTTCCATATTTTACATCTATACTTTATAGCTATAGCTAGTCTTTATCTTATACTTTATAGCTAAAATTGAAACTATTAAAGCAAAGAAGCATCACACCTCAATAGGATTAAAAACTTAAATCAACAGATGCGAATTTGAATCTGTTACCTTCGCTTGAGGTAAAACCAAGAGCCACGCCAAAGACACATAGAGCTAAAACTGAAATATTGACAGCGCCAAACCAAAAACAAACAGCATAAAACAAAAAGTACTTTGAAACATTTTATTAAACTTACATTTGCAGATCGATCCCGTCTAATTATTCCATAATTTGAAAGTTAAGGAGAAAAAACATTTATTTAAAATATCTGCAGTATATAAAAATATCGCTTTTTTGTCAAATATTTTAACGAACTACTAAAACAAATGTTGGCAAAGAAGCAAGCCAAACATTAAACTTCAAAAAAAAAAAAAAAAACAATTGATTTTTTGTTGCACAATGTAAAGACATTCTCATTTATAAACTGTTAGTTTATTATTTACTTGATAAAAGCAAGACCTCCGCTTTGTCTTTTATTGCACTAAACATGAAATGATTAAAGGGAAAAGAAAATAAGAAAAGAAAAACAAAATATTAAAAAGCTTCACATCTAACTACTAAGTAGCTTACAAAATGATCGCTGGAGTGACATTCATAATTCTTATTTGCATTGACCATTTACTTTATACTTTATAACTAAAATTGTAATCAGTTAAACAAGCAAACAGCACACTATAACACTATTGAAAACATGAAATATCTGATGCAATAATATAATTGTTACCATAACTTGGATAAAATCAAGTGTGAAAATACATACAAAAACCATGTAATAAAGAATTCGAGAAGAAAAAAAAATTGCAAGGGCTAAAACAAAAAACGATTAGAAAGAAACAAAATGTAACTTGAAACATTTCACTTGTCTACATAATAGTTAAACTGAATTTTACTTACTTTGGCTGAGTCTTATTGCTCTATTATTTTATTAGTTTAGAGCTTTATTACACAGACATCAAGTTTAGAAGCAGGCAATGATTTCTATAAATTTTGTGTATTTTTGAAAATACATGATTGAGCTGGAAAAAAAAATTGTTAGCATAGCAAAACACATTTTATTTTGTTTGTTTTTTTTTTTTCATTTTGTTTCTAATCGGTTTATTAAACTTAAATAAAACAAATCAAAAAAAAATTATAAAAAAACTAATCATGATTCTGACCACTATGCTTTTAAGACATGCAAATAAAGAACAAAAATTCGCTAATTTCTTATAAGAATCAATTGCTTACGTAAAAGGATAGTTTGTTTGACATTATAACGTGAGCCACACCACTTCTTTGTCTTTGCGACACTAAAATTAAATCTGATTAACACCCAACCCCAAAACGATATATAAAAAAAATAAAAAAACATTTGTGACCACAAAAACAAATAATTGAAGCATATACTTAGCATGTAGGAAGACGCACTTAAATGAAACAAACTGCGTTTGGATTATACACGCAAAACTAAACAGACCACCAATCAATATTTTCTTGTTTAATGCAAAAAACTTTATGTGAAAAAAACAAAACAAAAACAATAAAATGATAAGAACAAAACAAAATTACCAGTCTTACTGCACATTTTAAGAAACAGTAAAACAGAACATTCGTCTAACTGTAAACGTATTAATAGCCTTATACAGGAAACCATTACTTTAAAATTGCACTAATACAAAAAAACTTTAACCTAAAACCTAAATAAACAGCATTTTGAATCGGCAAATACAACATTTATAATTTTGCTCTTTGACAGTCTATAATTTGACATTAAAAACAAGATTTAGGTAAAAGAAAGTACTTTACTAAAAGCTGATCGTTTATTCTGTTCACAATGATTGAACTTGGTTTTTTAAATAAGAGTGTTCTTCGGGCTAATAATAAAATTGTTAGCAAAAAACAAAACAGAAAAACATTGTTTGAAATTATTACTTTTAATACTTGTAGTACAAGAATTGAAAATCATGCATTGCTTTAAAAAGACCTCAAGTGAATAGCTTACAAACCATGATATGTGCACTAGACCTCTGTTCTATGTTTGTAAACTGCTCTAAATAGGAACTCGTTAGTGGAAAAAGAAAAAAAAAAAAAAAAAAACAACTAAAAATCAAAACAAAAAACAAAACAAAAAAATCATCAATTGACGTTTTACATATAATTAAAAAGAAGCTTACAAATTTTGGCAATCAGTGAGTTTAATGTTTCTTTTCCATATTTTACATCTATACTTTATAGCTATAGCTAGTCTTTATCTTATACTTTATAGCTAAAATATAAACTATTAAAGCAAAGAAGCATCACACCTCAATAGGATTAAAAACTTAAATCAACAGATGCGAATTTGAATCTGTTACCTTCGCTTGAGGTAAAACCAAGAGCCACGCCAAAGACACATAGAGCTAAAACTGAAATATTGACAGCGCCAAACCAAAAACAAATAGCATAAAACAAAAAGTACTTTGAAACATTTTATTAAACTTACATTTGCAGATCGATCCCGTCTAATGATTCCATAATTTGAAAGTTAAGGAGAAAAAACATTTATTTAAAATATCTGCAGTATATAAATTTATCGCTTTTTTGTCAAATATTTTAACGAACTACTAAAACAAATGTTAGCAAAGAAGCAAGCCAAACAATAAACTTCAATAAAAAAAACAAAAAACAATTGATTTCTTGTTGCACAATGTAAAGACATTCTCATTTATAAACTGTTAGTTTATTATTTACTTGATAAAAGCAAGACCTCCGCTTTGTCTTTTATTGCACTAAACATGAAATGATTAAAGGGAAAAGAAAATAAGAAAAGAAAAACAAAATATTAAAAAGCTTCACATCTAACTACTAAGTAGCTTACAAAATGATCGCTGGAGTGACATTCATAATTCTTATTTGCATTGACCATTTACTTTATACTTTATAACTAAAATTGTAATCAGTTAAACAAGCAAACAGCACACTATAACACTATTGAAAACATGAAATATCTGATGCAATAATATAATTGTTACCATAACTTGGATAAAATCAAGTGTGAAAATACATACAAAAACCATGTAATAAAGAATTCGAGAAGAAAAAAAAATTGCAAGGGCTAAAACAAA